ACAGTCATTGCAGTATTGCATCTTACTGTGTTTATCCACTTCCCCATCCTTGCAGAATAGCACAGAAAATAGCTCAATAAAATACTTTTGTGTAATTGTCACCAGTTATTCTTGAACAATATTATTTCCCAAAAAGAATTTCATGATTCCTATCTGGGAAGTAGAAAAAGCTACTAAGAAGCCATGGTTCTGTGATCAGTGAAGTCACAGCATAATCATTTGAGGCCTGGAGAACAGTACAATCACATTAAATTCCCTCAGCTCAAGAAATGTCATCTTTACATCAGCTGGTACAAAAAAAAATTGTTTCCAGCCTGAAGCAGTTATGATAAGGGATTTAGAAGTCATCACCATGTGGGCCATGAGATATAAAGGAATGCATCACTGCATATAAAGTGTCTGCTGCTCACAATTTTGGAGCAAATGTTCTCACAGCTGTGTATGACTTAGACCAGCTTGGAAGAAGAAAGGGAGTAAATGAGTCACTAGAAGGACCTAGTATTTTGTCTAAACTGCATTTAACACTCCTGCAGCAGAACTGTGGTAAGCAAAATAAGATAAATCATTATCCAGCAAGGGATGGGACTGTATGATCTCTTGGAAGTGCAGTAGAAAACACATAGTCTTGGGGGAAGGCAGGCAAAGATGCCATTTCAGTCCTATTTGTGCACTCCTAAGACAATACCAGCAGCTGAAACAGCCCTCAGTGCAACTGAGTTGGGTCGTGGGTTACACAACATTACCACAGACCATCTGGCACTCCCAGGCATGCCTGAACTGCTGCATATACAAGAGGGAAAAGATTTTGGAAAGCCTTGTTCAGCAGCCTTAGCACAGCAGTTCTCTTATAGTGGACATCAGGCTTTCTGTAACATGACATACAAGGCTCTAACAGCTCAAGAAGTAATCTTACCCTTACAGAAGATGAGTCTGTAGACAGCCACAGAGGGACTTTGTCATGAAAATGTATTTTCACTTACGAGATGCTCCTTCATTAAGTATCATATCTATCAATACTTGCTTAGGCTATGGGTCAGGCATAATATTGCATGTTAGCATGCAATGCCACCCAGGGAATATTTAGTTATGCCAAAAAACCCCAGTTCTTAGGGCAAATGTCAGATCATGCACAGCATACCAAAAAACTCTTCAGATGACACTCTCTTCTAACAATTTCACCACATTTACACAGTGTGCTTAATAGTGCAAACTTTCACAGATTATCAGTTTCTAATAAGTTTCACAAGGGCAATGTATTCCCAATATGTTTCTATGGATATCTACCAGACCGATATTGAAAAATAAAAGCATTGTTGTTTCAATCTAAATCTCTTAAGGTTGATTTGCACCATTAAGTTAACCTTAGTTGTCTTTCATATACAAAAATCTAAAGAAAGACTTCTTCCCCTCTACTGCTCTACTGCTGCAAGAAGAACACAGCAGTGTCTCCAAAGGTAAGTCTGAGCTGAAAGAGCCAGTCGTTTTGCGGCATGTTTCAGTGATGTAACTGAATTCCTGGTTTTGCACAGCACTTTGTAAAATAACTGTACTTACTGGAGAACACTTACCAGCTTCTGCAAGGGCAGTGATCTGAAGGATAATATTTTAAATTTTATTTTCACCTTGTTCTACACATTTATTTTTGTTTCTCCAGCTATCACATACAGTTCTCACACTCCCCTTTTTTCTTTAGGTGCAAGGCTATCAAAAGAGTTCCTAATCAAACATATTCTATTAATCTACTTGACAACAGATGCATTTTGTAGGCTGCAGCTGAAAGTACAGCATTTGTTTAAAAAAACCCAACCAAAACCCCCCAAACCAACCAACCAACACCACCAAAATAACCCCCCCAAAAAATCCCCAAAAGCCCTCCAAAACCCCCCAATAACAACAAACAAACAAAACCAACAAGAGCAAAAAGCCCAAACAGAAAAACCCAAAACAAAACCCCCCAAAACACCCAATCAAAAAAAATGATAACCCAAAAGGTACTGTCCAGTGAATAAGCAAGGTTACCTTCCTCTCACAAGAAAAAAAAAAATCCCAAGAGGAATATATACTTTTCTTAGAAATTAAACATAAGAGAAGAGAGGAGAAAAAAAACTCATAAAATTCATTTTTTTTTAAACTTTAATGTTCATTAAGACTGTTTTGGTCTGAGTTTTCTTCATTAATTTCATTCTGTTATAAAAGTGGTGAATCATTACATTTCCAAGAGTTCTTCTTTACTTTGAAGCTATATCTTAAATTGAAGGGTTCTGAATCTAGGCTGCATCTATTTGAAACATTACCTAGCAAAATAATGCATTTCATCTGGAGAAAAACTTCAGAGGCTTATTTGAATTCATGATACCCAGATTTGATTCCCTTTTGGTTTCAAGAGCATCCCCAAAGGTGCATCCATGAGCCAGATGCAGATTCCACCTTGTTGAAAATGTAAACTTAAAACTTATTCTTTAAGCTTTCCTTAGAGACTCCTTCTTTAGTTTACGATATATAAAAAGGAGCAATCTGTGCATCTATATGAAGGCCAAAAAAAGAGAGCCTCTCAAGTTGCTTCTCTAAGCAGGGGTGAGGAAGCCTCTTGGGCTCTTGCTTACTATTTTTATTACTCAAGCTGTAAAGCAGGTGTTGTTAATTACTCAAAGATGAAAGAAGCTTTAAAAAACAGGTATCTATAACCACCTGATTAACATAAATATAAAGTATTTTTCAAGACATAGTATCTTAGAGATTTCTTTCTGATAAAAACATTAAAGATTTACTCTTTCCATCAATATTAAAATAAATTCTTAGCCCTTAATTATTTGAGATAAGCTATTTTTAGGCTAATACCACTTGCACATACTGAAAAACAGGTTCAGGACTGAATCTTCACCATCTGGGACCTTGGCCAGCACTGCAGCGAGTTTTTTGGGGGAGTATTTTGTTGGATATACTTGGTGAGTTTTAGGGGGTTTTACTGGGGGCAGGAGGAGTGTTGTATTGGGAGTTTTTTGGGTTGGTTGGCTTTTTGGGGTTTTTTTACTCTTAAGTTTAGAAGAGGAATTTTAGAATCTTGACAACACTGCAACAGTTAGAGAAACCAATAGAAAGCTCTGAAGAGCATGTTCAATACAGCAGTATAGCTGCAGCAATATCCTTGGACTTGATGCATATGTGTCCCCAGCATAGGCAAACTTACCTCAGCAGCAAAACTTTGAAGTCTGTAGCCTGGCTGCAATAGAAAACCTAGACTGAAACAAGCCCGGGTCTATATGGTACTGAGAAAGTCAACTCTTGCATTAAAAAAGCACAATAAATTATATTACAATATTTGACAACTCTTAAATCTGCTGGTCAACTGCTGTTCATTATAAAATGACTCCAAAATTCAAAGCAATGCCAAAAAGAGGGTTTAACTTTTAATCCTTCCCCTGAAATGATACTCCTCACAGAAGCAGGATGAATACCAGTATGCCACAGCACAAAGATTTCTGGCATACGGCAAGCTCATTAATTACACATATCATGACACATAAAAAGGTGCTGCAATTTAAGATACTGATACAAAAAAGTCCAGGTAGACAACCCCAAAAAAATAAACAAAAAATCATAAATAAATTAAAATAAACCACAACTGCAAATTCTATCTGATAAATCCCTGGAAGGAGAAAAAATACAAACAGATTCTCCAAATACTTAATAGTTAAAGAGAAACTTACTTCCTTCTGGGAGCCTGATATACCAGTTAAACCCATACAGCCTAGAAGTATCAAAACATGTCATTATACTTTATATTTTATTTTTTAATAAAGAGTATGGTTTTCAGAAAGAGAACACAAAAAGTTCTTAAGACTTCTCTTAAACTAACAGATTAGAGTATATGGAGTATGAACATTATTAAGAGGGGGTTGGGCAGCACACAGACCGAGCTGATCTTCAGGTCTGTTTCCATCATTTTTCATCCAGATCTGAATTACTTTCAAATTTAAGAGTTGGGCAAAATAAAATCTTCTATATTCAAAAGTATGAGTGAGCAAAACTATATATATATAAACCTCTCTTTATCAATACAACAAAAAAAAAAAATAGTGAGGTCAGCAAATTTTTAATTTTATCTGCTCAGTAATAGAAATGGAAGTGGGTTGCATTTGGTAGGTCATGTTTTATTAAGACACGAAGTCCAATTACTACCTATGAAAACCTTTTTCAATACAAATGTACTTGTTCAGGGCAAAGTTCACTAACATAGAAGATTCCATTACAACAGCACTGTAATTGTTACTATCCATATTTCAAGGTTAAGCCTAAAGTTGAAGGGGTCACCTAGAGCCCTTTTCATGCAGCAAGAGAAGAAAATACAAATGTTAGCATTTGTTTTTTTAAAAAAAACCCAACAAACCAAAAAACAAACCAAAGGCATGAAAATATGTAAATTCTGCATTAGGATTCAGTTCTTAAAATATCTCTATTGTTGTCTTGGTTTCTATTTGCTTTCTACAACACCCCAAGTTGGCATTATTTCAAAACTGTACAGAGTGTCATTACTTGCTAAAGTTGCCCAGAGTTATGGTAAGGGTTTCCTTGGCCCTGCTCAGAGTTGGGTTTTGCATAGGAACAGAGGGTTGATTTCTCAACCAGCTGTCACATCCCCAATACTTCAGGGTTTCTGGGGGCTCAAGACCTCACCCCTGTGGTTACAACGCATGCAGGCAGCGCTGGAGCGAGATGCAGCAACACTACACATGCTGCCCATTCTCTGGCTTTACCACTACTGCTCCAGAGCAGTCCTGCACACTGGGGAAGAGTGACTCTTTGTTCTGGCTGCACCCATTGCCAGGCTGGTAGCAAAGCTGAACGTAGCCGTGAACAGAGGTCTTAACATTATGGGATTTCCTGCTTTGAACTCTTTTTGGTATTACTCTAATGCAAGTTCCCTAACACTTTTATGCAGATCAATGCTGCATTAACAAGCATTTTTAGGATTTTAAAGGTTTCCATGGTATCATCCTTACCTATGTAGTTTATCCTCCAGCATCTCCATGTACTTCTCAGCATTTTCTTTTACACTGGTCACTGCAAAATAAAGATCAAAGTCAGGTAATGGTAAAACTGTACAGTTTTGCAAGTTCTTCGTTTTTATATATCAACTCATTTCTTACCCACAGATTTTACATATATCAGTTAGGAATAAGAATTCCATTAATCTTTTCCACATTCAAATTGCAGTGTGGGTGTCATCTCCCCTTTTTTCTTGAAAGTCTATTGTACCTGTAGATTTACTTTTTGGTTGGTTGTGGGTTTTTTTGTTCTGCTTTGTTTATTTTAGCAGTTTATCAGATTCAAAAAAAAACCCCAAACAAACCAACCAACAAAAAAACCTCCAAAACGAAACAAACAAAAACCTCAACCCCACCACAGCCCCAGTACTCTGGAAGCAGGATTCTGCACTATTATGTTGTACATACAAAACTGCATGAGTTTATACATTCACAGACCTAACTGACCATTAGAGGAGTGCTGGTGAACACTATGCAAAAGGTTATATATGAATTTCTGCAATGGCATTGGAGACTTAATAACTTTCCCTAGCTTGTAGAAGCTATGTAACAACTACAGAGCTTAAGAAGTTCACAGTTTTCTTATCATGCTTTAATTCCTACACTTCCTGCGGAACTGCACAGATCCTGCAAGACTACAAGTCTTCCTCTAATGACACATTACAGCTTTATATAAACGACCCCCACTTTTTCCAAACTCCCTATCCATCAATCCCCAAATGTGCTGACATGAGGTCCAGTGCACGCTTTGATAGCAGACAGCTTCAAGGTGTACGGGTACCGTGCTTCCCCCTCTCTTGCCATTATCATAGTGTCCTTCAACCTGAGCTGTGGCAACTCAGGGGCTTATTCTTCTGGGGCTTATTCTTCTGGATAATAAAGTCAGCAGATATTATTAATTTTTGAGAGGGATGAGAAGATGTGGAGAATCTGTTTCACACTCACTTTGTTTCTAACCGATATAGTGACTTCTTATGTTACATGAAAGATAAACCTTGCTTTCAATTTCTCCTGCTGTGCTTGTCACTTTTTAATTGGGTTTGATCTGATAGAGTAATTCGCACTTTCACAGTTCAGTCCTGCCCCTACATGCAATTTTACAATGCCCTTGAAGCACACAGCTTAATATATCAGCATTATTCAATGACAAAAAGTAATGGACAAGAATACAGCACTAGTCAAAAGTAGGTCAGTAAAAAGCTAACACTCATTTGGAAATCACCTCACATCACTAAACCCTACTCTCTCCTGTCAAATGTTTTAACTACATTAAAAGAAATGCAAACTTTGCTGCTGAAAGAGAAAGCTCCCCAGACTAGCTTTGTCTCCTTGCCGCCTTCTGCATGTAATTGTGAAAGCTGTGACCTGGAGATTTTGCTGGAAGGAAAGCACAGCTTTAAAATCTGATTAAGGTTACTTTCCTTGCAACAAACTGCAAGCAGCAGTGCAAAAATTACAGAAACACGCTCAGCCTTTTAGCTCATCCATTGAAATAGAAGACAAGCAACAAATTAGCACATTTTTTGTTCTAATTTAATGAATCTATTCACCATCACTTCAAAGCAAAAAATGCAAGCAGGAAGCTGTGTGTGCCTTCAATCTGGCCAAGAAAGTACTAGATGACAGAGGAAAAAAAAAAAGAAATAATAATTTATGAGATTCTTTTCTGCACGCCAAATGGTTTATTTTTACATTTAAGTGAATGGGATTGCCTTTTTCATCAGTTCTCTGGGGATTTACATGCTTAGTTCATATTGGCCTTGAGGGGAGTTATTAAAATAAAGAAGTATAAATACTCACAGAAGATCAGACACCAGGGTATTTGCTAAGAATAAAAACAGACTTTCCTTGTGAAGTCTTAATTGAAGAAAAGTGACTCAGCATTTCTTTCTCTTATTTTACCACAATTTTTTTCATCTTCACAGCAACAGACAAAGTCCAGTCTTGGAATCCATCCTGGTCAGTCAGAGCTGAGGGTAAGCAGTGAGCTCCCATGGTGGCCTTTCAGTTGTTACAGATAGCATATCTGCCATTTTAGAAGCTGCACAAATATATCTCAGTAATGAACCTACATTGTGTTCTTTTAAAATAACATCACATGTCATTTCTCATCTGAAAGCAGCCCCAGTGGGCTAATGCTATTTCTATTACTTACAAAGATTATTCAAGCCTGCATACGAAAGCGTTTCATCACTTTTATTCTTCAGTCTTTTATTCTTTGGTCCTCAAAAATTGAGCTTAAAAAGACCTATGGACCATAATATATGCTTTGAATCCTGTGATCGATATTTTCTAAACTCTGTAAAATCTGAGTATCTGACTGGAGACACCTTGAACCTGGTGTTCATACAGACACTCCACATGTGGACAATTTGCAACTCAGAAGAGTAAGTCTTTAAAATTGAATTAGGGACCAAAAAAAATTGGTAGTCAATATCATAGTAGTTTTTAAGTGCTACCCCACAGGTCTGTAGTTCTCTACCAGATATGTGATCTACTGAGTCCCAGAGATACAAACTCCAAAGTTAGTTTTCTGCCTTCCATGCTAAAAGGATTTATTTTTCTTTTTTCCCTTTCTTTTTTTTGAATGGATGGACAGTAACACACATTTTCACACAAAATTAAAGGCTGGAAGAGCTGCAATGGCTGCTAGAAGACCAAGTCCCAGCATTTAAAGAACTTCCAGACATTACCTGCCTGCATGACAAACCCGAAGCCTACAAAATTAGCCTCTCTGTTCTGCAAGCATTATGTTCCTTCTCAAATACTTTATTAGTCAGGTAGAGAAAAACTCCCACTGGATTCAATGAGATTTTTGCCCGACTTAAGGATGTAGTATGAGACTTGTCTCTTAAGAAGTATATAAAAATAAAAGTAACTACATGGACATGCATGGATTCACCTGGGATAAACTCTGAGGGCATAATTAGGTGTGAACAAGGCTGACATGCTGCTTGTCCTGTCACTAGTCTATTTTTAAAATGTAGAAATTATTATTAGTGCTAAGAGAAAAATGAAACCAGAAAATGATTCTATGAAAATATATGATCTTTTCTGTCATGGAAGATGCACTGCATTAAAGTGTGAAGCTGGGGTCTGAAAAACTGAAGAATCGCTTCGATATATTTAAAGGTTAACTTGAAAAGGCAGTGAAACTTCAGAGATGACATCTCAGCTGTTCAACTACATGTCAAGACAATTTATCAAGCCCCAGTAACAAGATTTTGGATTACAGAGTGGTAAGGAATTTTGCATCCTGCAGATAGACAGAGGAAAAAACCCAAAGAACAAACCCTGTGTGAAGAACAATGGCCTCTCTCCAGCGCTTTTTTCCCAAGGAACTCAAGTAGAAAGAACAGAAAAATCCAGGATTAAAGAGAGGAAAATAAGTGCCTTAATAAAGAAGTACAAATACTCAAAAAAACCCAAATGAAATTCTATACTGGTTCACTGACTGTCTTCCAGTAACGAAGTAAATACCAAGATATGTAGTTACTATCTCTCTCTTCCAGCAACTGTGGTTTGTTCTAAGGAATGTGCTAATCCTCTAAATATCATTGCAGAACAGCACAAAATTAGCCTGAGGAAATTACTGCCACCAGAGATGAGGTGGCCACAACTTAGGAGAACAAATGGACTGGCTATTCCACAAATAGAAATACTACATAAAGGTGAGCTGGAAAGAAAAAAATTGGTCCTGAACATCTAAGAAATTAAAACCAGGCATTTAAAGACATAACCCAATCTTACTTGATGGAGTTGAAGATATTCTCTGCCTAATGAGAGAGGATTTCATAACTCAATCACAAGGTTTTTTTCCCTCCTGCTG